GAAGGGCCAAAACATTCTTAGCAACTTTACTAAGAGTTGGATATTGAGCACAATTTCCTTGCCACCAATCCAAAAGATTGAAACCCTCATATGTCAGGCTTTGATGTGGATCATTGAAGTACATATCCACTTCATTGGCTATCTCATTTTGTTGTGCCTCCGCTCTTTTTCGTTGGATCTTCTTTGTCATCCTTGAAGCAACATCAATATCTACGATCACACTCCCCACATCATCTAGTACAACACTTTATCTTTGCTCCACATTTGAGGTAGCACTACTACTAGTACTACTACTACTACTACTACTACTACTACTACTACTAAGGACCACTCCCTCCTTGTATGCATTATACAACTCAGTTACATAGCCTTTAACCCTTACTTTCATCTCCCTTATTTTGTCCCATCCATAGCCGAGCTCTTCTAGATTTGTCTCCAACATATCAAATTTGTACCTAGGGTTGAGTGCTTGGGCAACAAAGAGAATAGGATTCACCTTTTCAATGTGACCCCAATATTTGTCAAACTTGAGCTTCATTGAGGTAGCCACACTTTGCAAAATGGCATTAGAGGCGTTTAAAATTTGTTCTTGTATCTCCACTTACAAGGCAATCACCGTGCTAAGTATTAAGTGTGACGTTGGAGTAAGGGTTGCACTCAATGTCAAGGTGGCATCATAAAACTTTTTAAGAAAGTGAGCAAAACTTATTGACCTTTCCCAATCATCCACCTCCGGATGACCCACCTGCTTGGCCTTTGTTGTCACTCCATTAACCTCTTTTGAGACCTTCTCTTTGAAGTAAGCAATAAAAGAGTCACACTCAAAGGCCATCTTAGAGAACACTTCTTTAAACTTGAAAGCACTATTAAGCATCTCATACGTGGCATTCCACCTTGTGACAACATCAAAAGGGATACTTGACATCCTATCAAATCTCAACAAGACACAATATTCCCTAAAATACTCCAACCTTGCCGCGAATGAGTGTATAAACTTCACACAATTTCTTATGGCATCAATCTCACAACTAAGCTCCATCATTCCATCCTTAGCTATCAAATTGAGGATGTGACAAGCGCACCTCATGTGCAAGTGAGCCCCGTCAAGTAAAAGTGTACCATTTGACTTGAGTCTTCTTTTCATGTATGCAATAGCGGTGTCATTTGCATTAGCATTGTCAACGGTAATACTAAACACCTTGTCTATGCCCCAATCGTTCAAGCAAACCTCTAGACATCTTCCAATATCATCACCCTTATGAGAAGTAACTTGGACAAAGTTTAGGATCCTCTTATGTAACCCCCAATTAATGTCCAAAAAAAGAGGCCGTGATGAGATGTAGTTTATCGTTTGAATTGAGGTCCAAGTGTCAGTTGTAATACTCACTCTCAACCCTCAATCACACTTTTTATTTTAGCCTTCTCTTCAACATACAACTCCAAAACCGCCGCCGCCACCTTATGCTTATTAGGAAGTTTGTACTTTGGATTCAAGTCACGAATAAAATCTCGAAGGTCCTCTTGATCAACCACCCTAAAAGGCATCTCCACTATTATAATCCACCTTACACATCTCCTATCAAGTCTTTTTTGATTGAAAGTGTGAATGACAACCGGACCTCCCATCCTCGCTTGTGTCAATGTAGGTTGCTTCAGATCCACATTCTCAAAGAGACTAGAACCCGGACATTTCCTTAAATGCTTAAGAATTCCCATCAGTCCATGAATTATAGGGTGTGCCGGTACTAAGAGTTTGCAATGCTTGCATTCGGCCATGAAAGATTTCTCCCTATTATTATCGGTGATCGATACCCTCTTAGCAACATTCCACGCCGGACTTGGACCTTTTCTCCTATTGCCCTTTTTTCCAAAGAGGACCCTCCCATTGTCTCACTACTTCTTCTACTTCTTCTACTTCCTCTTCCCCCTATTCTTCTATTTGTTCTAATGCAATATCCTTTTCCATATCCGGATCATCATCCCAACAATCTTCATAATAATTAGTATGCAAATAAGCTTGAGGTGAGGGATTGCCTAGTTGAAGGGTACCACTAGGTTGGGTTTGTTTTTGTTTTTCTAATACTGAGTCCATAGGTGTACTAGATTGGCTACTAGACTCGTTCATCCTAACAAATAAAATAACAATGCATATTAATATATCACAACCATAGTTCAACAGATATCCAAATTCCAATAAATAAATAAAATAAATGGTTCAAAAATCTGAGCATTCAACATAGAAAATATATGGTTGTGAGAAAAAGAACTCAAAATATATAACAGAAATCAAACGAAATCTGCCTATTCAATACTTTCATGGCATCTGCCTAATCTGCCAATTTGATATAATCTCATACTTTCATAGCATCTGCCTATTCAAAAGCAATCTGCCAATCTGTCTGTGCACAATAGCATTCAAAAATCTGAGCACAATAGCATTAAAAAATCTGAGCATTCAACATAGAAATATATTCAAAAATCTGCCAATCATGTCTTGTTTATGCTAATATGTGCACAAATATGCCAATTAAATGGCAAGGCCCAGTTAAGTATTTGCTTAGAATATGCCAATATGTGCATAGAATTACAAAACTTGATTTGCTATCAAACATTAAAGCAAGACCATGTATCTAAGATTCTATAGCCAAAACAAAAATATTACCTGACGCAATGTGTGACTAATTTGAAGTTTGAATATGTGGAATGATTAACTCCTCAGTTGCTACAGCAGTGCTAAACCTGCTAACACTTCTCCCTGAAGACAACCAGGAAATCAGTCAGCCTAGATAATCACTTGTAGTAGTGCTTAATAATTTTCTTTATTGATTAATGATCAATGATAGCAGTTTAATTTATTACGTGTAAAGGTGCACCAGTGAACGCTTAATTCAATGATGTGTGTGCAGGTGTGAAGAGATTTACTTATTGTCGCAAGTAAGACTCCAAGAAAAAAGAATAACTTCAATCTATTTCTCCAGAGTGTAAACTCAAGGGTATTATTCTCATTAAACCCTTTGTTAGTTAAGGTATCGCAACGAAAGTGCAGTTCATTAAGAATTGAGTTGAAATTCTCCACTTCCAAGCTATGATATTAGAGCCTAACAATTTGAACTAGCCATCTAGAAAGTTGAAGAGTTTCCCTGTATGTATTATGTGAACATGAAATTAATGGACTAACATAGTGGGGAAACCTAGTACCAACATTCTGAACGAAGCGAGCAGGATGCAACCAGAAACAAAATTAGTTTCTGTTTGTAAGGATATAATACATTTCAAGGCAAAGAAGCTTGCATGTCTCATTTTATGAACTTATGACTAAGAACAGTTACACTCGAGAATTAGACTACCAGGCAGGAATCATATAAGCTAAAGTAGCAGGAAAAATGTTAAGATGTGAAAGGTTAACAGGTGAAGGCATCGTGGGATAGTATACAATACATTCACCTGAAAATATTAGGACGCCCACCTCTAAAACACGTTTACTGGCAAATGATAAATGTCCATTTTGAAATTCAGATCTTAGAGCTTTAACTAGATCAAGAGAACCTTCCCATAACTTTAATCCCCCTACAACCCGCCAAAACCAAGTACATAGCATCACACATGGTGCCGTAGTGCATCATCAATAAAAGAAACGATTTTTAAAAAAGAATGTGATAAACTCAATCAAACATCATTTTAATTATTGAATATTTGAATGACTACTAACAAACAGATGAAATGGAAGAAATGTATAAGTTATTAACACACAAAAAAAAAATTGCCAATGGCATGAATAAATTAGGCCATCAACGAGTCTATAACCAGCCTCGAGCCATTCAACAATCCCTACTGTCAAAACACTAAATTAATTACCTAATTTGGGTGAGAGTGAAACTCAGACTCAGTGTTGGATCGAGAGTTCTGTCTATGAGAGAAAATAGCCTACGAGAGAGAGATCACAAGAGTCGGAGATGATTCGTGAAGGAATCGTGAAGGAAGGTTGGAGAGTTCTGTCCTTGATGCTTTGGCGTGGCGGTGGCTGGGTGGTGATTCGTGAAGGAAGGATGGGCTGCTGAAGAGTCAAGACAGTTCGAAGGAAGGACTGTGTGGTGAAGGAAGGCTGGCGGTGCCTGCACTTCAAGTTCGATGGAATTGGAATAAATGGAACGAAAGTGAAATGGGGGATCCAACCTAAAAACAAATGAACGGCACAAATTAAATCTAAAACAATGAACGGTTGAAATAATTCTCTTATAATTAAAAAATAATATATATATATATATAATATTTATTTCGGTTCGGTATGGGAATACCGAAAAATGAAGATGCAAAACTGAATCCTGTACCTGAAAATTTCGGTTTGGTTCGGGATGACATATCGAAAATTTCGGGAATTTTAGTTTGGAATCGGGATTTTTTCAGTTTGGTTTGGGATTTTTGGGATTTTTTTCCAATCCTACTTGGTAAGAAGAACAAAGTGTTAAAAAATGTGAGAAATTTTTGGTGGTAAGCAATGTGGGACAATGAGATAGAATGAAGTTTCTACTTAAAAACTTCAACAATGAGAAGGTCTAAATAAAAAGGTAAGTCATAAGGTTGTAAACATTTCTAAATATTTTTTCGGGTACTTTTTGTGCATTAATGTTATTGCATGATGATATTGTAAGAAATGCAGTTTTATTTTCTACTGTTAGTGTGAAACAATGAGTCATATAAATTTGGCATGGCAAAGTATTTCCATTTATGAAGTGAGAGATTTTAAATTCAATTCTGGTTAAAGGCGAATTTGAACCATATTATTGCAAACACATTATGAGATTAAGCTCAACCTGTATTTTCCTTAATGGATAATATCGTTTGTTAAAAAAAAAATTATTAATTGCACGGATGCTTGCATCCTTATCTCTTCGGACCGTGTACAGTTTGGTCCATTTAGGCCCATATATAAGAGAAACCCAAACAAAACTTATTAAGAGAAAACAATTGTAGAAAGAGAAGCCAGAGATAGAGAGAGTAGTCAGAACGGGATTTAGGGTTAGGGTTTTTTGAAGCTGTTCACGCAGTTGCAATGGAGGAGATAACTGAAGGCGTGAACAATATCACCGTCAATGCCTCCGATTCGCACAAGAAGAACCGAATTCAGGTATCGAATACCAAGAAGCCACTATTCTTCTATGTAAATCTTGCCAAGGTAAACCCTATTCTCTACCCTGTTCGTAATTCTCTGCTTATGTACGGATATTTACATACGAATACATACATCTATGTATACATATGCTTGTATGGCTAATTTGCTTTCTGGAATTATAGTTCATTTATTTCTATAAATCATATGCTTATGGCACTTTATTGATTTGCAGAGGTATATGCAACAGTACAATGAGGTGGAGCTCTCTGCTTTGGGAATGGGTATGACATTTCAGCTGTTTCCATCTCGTTATGCTGTTGAACTTATAACTCTGTTTGTGTCGATATCTGTGTGTTGTGTGATGTATCAATGTACTGGCTCTGGACATTACTCTGAAATCAAGGAAACATTCAGGTTCCTAATCAAGTTGTGGAAGATAACTGGAATGTAGCGTAATTTGTTTGTATAAGTGTTGGTTGGGTTCACTCCATTTGACAAGTTGAGCTATTAGTTTCTGCACAATCCAACATTATTTGCTTTTTTATTTTTTTCTGTCTGGTTAAGGTGGAAAGAGAATGTTTATTAATTTGTTGAGCCATTCTGTCAGTAATAACCTTCTTTCAAGTAGCGAGAAGTTGAATAGAAACATTGGAGTGTTTGACATTCCTTAGACTACTCTTTCAGATTGTACATGCTCCAATACACCAGGTTGAAGGAATTCTTTCCTTGGAGGTGGAGCTTATATTTCACTAGATGTCTTTATCTGGAAAGTAGTCTTTTGGCTCCTTCCAGTTTGGTGGTTGCTTATGCTTTGGTTTCCTTGCTCATGTTTATACCATGGTTATCAAGGAAATAACTCTTTACCATTTCAACATATACTTAGAAACAGAACTACTTCTGATTGGGACCTAGACAACGCTTCTGGTAAATCTATTTAGTTGGTAGTTGCAAGGGAAAAATGGAAGTGTTTAGCGAACAAGTTATCTGAAGTAAAGCTATGCCAACTAGAATGGTTACTTCTAAGTTAGAGTTTATGTTGCAGAATGTGATTTCCAACTCCCCTACCCACTCCCGAAACAGGGGATTATGAATCCGGCCAAATGTTGCATTCCCAACCCATTATTTTGCAATATTTGGAACGGAGATGTTTTTATCATGGATGTTGGAGTTCTTGACTAAAGGTTTGATTTGTTTAGTATTAATGCTGATGCAAGGACTAATTTCTGATGTACCATTGCAGCTATTGCCACAGTTGTCACAATCGCAGAAATTCTGAAAAACAATGGACTGGCTGTTGAGAAGAGTGAGACTTCTATTTTCCTTTTCCACTTTTCAGAAAAGAAACTATCAAATTATTAAATTTACTTATATTATGGAATGTAAATGCAGAAATCATGACATCGACTGTTGACATAAAGGATGATTCTAGGGGAAGACCGGTGCAAAAGGCCAAGGTATGTCAATATGATATTTAGAATAAGTTTTAAATCCCATTTGAAACATGTCTATTTCGATCTTCTTAAAGAATAAGTCAGATGTATAGCAGTGAAAGAATGGAGTGTTGAGTGGAGAGATCCTTTTGCACTTATTGTTGCCCCTTTGGATTTGTTTTTCATAAACATCAGTGTGCGCTTATATTGTTGGGCTATCTGTCATGTTAAAGTTGTTATCTGTACATGCCAGACTATTGGTTTTTAGAAAAGCAGATATGTGGCATGAACGGCAAAATTATGCGGCTCATAAGTTGATGCACTCTTTTGGTGATTGCTAATTTGAATAAGGAATGTTTACTGTGTAATCGATCATGTATTTATCTGTTGGCAGTGTGCCATTGTGTGAGATTTAAGGGAAAAACTTGTCCATTCTACGTGTATTTTGAGTTTCATTCTACCAATAGGGATATCATTTCATATCTTCTGTCTGGTTATTTGCAGTTATTTATGACCTCATAGCAAAAACCTTTTTATCAAATTGTATCTTGGTATCTATTTAGTATAGGACCTATAGTTTGTTTTCTGACTTCTTCAGAAGAGTAGTAGTACCTTATTTGTGAGGGCTTCTAGATCAAGTCGTAGAGCACTTTACGGTCACATTCATGACAAGAGATTGGAGTTCTTCCTGTCCCCTACCAAGTATTCCATATTGATTTATTCTTTTGGTTTTAGATTGAGATAGTACTTGGGAAGTCGGAAGACTTTGATGACTTGATGGCCGCTGCAGCTGAGGAGAGGTTGATTGCAGCTGCGGAGGAGCAAAGCTGAAAAAGGTTCCTTGTTCGGGGCTTCGCTTACAGTGTGTTTGGCTTGAATTATGTACTCTAAAGTTGGTTCTGGAAATAAATTTTGTTTAAGTATATTATTCAAGCATAGAATATGTTATGGAAAAGGCATTTTCTATATGCTATAACCTCTTTTCGTCGATATTTGTCCGTTTGATTGCTTTATATCTGTAGGCTAAGCTGCTCGTTAATGAGATTAGTATTTTTAAAAATCTAATCAAAGACGCATAAGCAAGCTAGAATAACTGCATTAACAGGTAATCTTTGATTTACTTGCATTTCGGTTGGATTGATTGAAATGCATTCCTGGGGTGGCCAAGAAAATCGGCTGGCGGACCAAACTGGCTTAAAAAAATTTTGGTTTTAGTAAAATAAATGCATGTTTTATGATCAATCAATTTTTTGGTCAGAAATTATGATCCATCTGAATTACATGAATTGTTGCATGAGTCGAGCAATTTATGCCTCCCAATAAAGTTTTAAAAGGCGCTAGACACTCGTCAGGCTGGGGTCTAAGGATTAGGTGAGAATTTAGGCGGATTTAAATAATTTTATTATAAATTATATAAATTAATTAAATTTACTACATAATATATAAAAACATTGAATAATGTCAGTTTTTAAAAAGAGTAATATGCACGTAATTGACGGTCCAACGCTTAGGTGCCACCTAGATTGATTTTTAGAACATTGCTTGCAAATGTTTAATGGACAACAACAATTGGTGTTCTATGTACAAGGGATAATATTATTTTTTTAGAAAAAAAAAATTAGGACCTCATCCCTTGTTTATAGTGTTCTTTAATTCAAATCTTATGTGTTTTCAAATTTTTATCAATATCCTTTGACTTTTGTCCACGTCAACATTTGACACACCAACTCCATCTTTTATATTAATCTATTATCTTTCTCAAATCGAACCTGAAATTCGATCGTTATATAATTTATTATACCCATTTCTACTTTATGTAGATGACACATTGATTGTATTTTAGGATATGTCTCGAATTCAAGAGTTAAAGATGCAACTGAGTAAGGAATTCAACATGAAGGATCTAGAGGCTGCACAAAAGATTGGAAAGCGAATTAGGAGAGACCGAGAAGGGGAAAAAATATGGTTGTCACAAACAAAATATATTCAGATTATATTGAGCATTTCAATATGGACGGAGCGAAGCCAGTGTCCACTCCATTAGCAGCTCATGATCAGTTAAGTGCGCGAAAATGTCCAACAACAGAAAAAGAGTTGGAAGAGATAGAAAAGTGCCTTATGCAAGTGCAGTAGGATGCCTTATGTATGCAATGATATGTACAAGACCTGACCTAGGTCAAGGATTAAGTATTGTTTCAAAGTATGTGGCGAACTCAGGAAAGGAGCATTGGTTTGCTGTTAAATGGATTCTTCGTTACTTGAAAGGTACAAAGAGTCTAGGAATCTTGTTTCAAAAACAAGAAAATGAAGCACGTGTGCTAGATTATGTGGATGCTAACTACGAAGGAGACTTTGACAAAAAAAAAAGGTCCACTACAGGTTACGTTTTGGTTTGTGGTGGAGGAACGATCAATTGGAGAGCTACTGTTCGGTTAATTATAGCATTGTCTATTACTGAAGCGGAGTATATTACGCTAGCAGTAGCTAGAAAGGAAGCAGTTTGGCTTAACGGTTTAACAAGAGAGTTTGGAATTAGTAAAATTTCATGGTGATTAGATGTGACAGTCATAGTGCTATTTACTGAGCAAAGAATCAAGTGTTTCATGAGAAATCGAATCATGTAGAAGATCGTTGTCATCGGATTAAGTAGAATCGAAGGAAGTTACATCGAGAATGTTCATACAGCGGAGTACGTTCAAATTACTTGACTAAACCAGCTACAGTAGACAAGTTCAAGTATTGCTTGAACTCGCTTAGATTTTACAGCATGCAAAAGATTGGACAGAGCACCTTCTAACTTAAGGTGCATTGAGGCAAGAATAATTTTGCCCAGGTGAAAGTTCTTGAAGTTTTAGGAGTTGCTTCAATAGGTTTGAAGATATTATGGGATGCAGTAGTCATCTCTTGGTTTTGACTCACCAGGTCAAAGATTGTTGTGATTTGGCTCATCAAATATCAAGGCCAAACAGATTTAAGTTTACAATTAGTGTTGAGAAGGGAGAAAATGAGTGTGCACATGTTATATCCCACATGAATTGGGAAATAGTTTTTTTCTTCGTAATTCCAATCATTTTAGGATTAGGAAATGTGCTGGTTTTTCTTATTCTAAAAAGATTTAAGAATCATATACTCATAAGATATATAATCATCGGTTTATGTACTATAAATAGACTTGTTAGAGGTTGATTATTCACATGCATAACAAAGAGAATACAAGATATAGAGTCAAAAGTTCTTGTAACCGAATTGTTATTCTCTATAGTGCAGGTGATCTCTCAAAAGAGATCACATGAGTACTAGTAGTAGGACAAGGTCTGTAATGAATGGTTCTACTTTTTGTTAATATTGGGCTCCAAAAACAGTCACAATTGGCAAAACAGAAACTGTAGAAACCGTGTAAATATTCCAAGCAAAAGCGCCAATATCGCAATTTAGCTTAAAAGAAAGCCGGGGTTGCAATCCGATCCGGTCTGTCGATCTTACGGCAACACGAAGACAAGCAAAATCCACAGTGACACTGCTGCTTCTTCTTCTTCTTCTTTACCCACTCACCAAAATGTCCCTGAGATCTCTACCCTCTAAACCCAAAACCCTTCACTCTATCTTCCACTCTCTTCTCTCACCCTCCAAACCCAACACTCACCGCCACCCCTTCTCTTCTCTCACCCACCACAACCCGCCATCTCCACCATCACCGCACCTGGTAAGCGAGTTCTCCCGCATCCTCAGCGACCACAGGAACCCTCACCACGACTTGGAGCTCTCCCTCAACGCTCTGTCTACCCAAATCTCCACAGACTTGGTTGAGCAAGTTCTGAAACGCTGCAAAAATCTCGGGCTTTCTGCACACAGATTCTTTCTTTGGGCTAAAGCAATTCCGGGTTTTCGACATAGTGCTGAAAGCTATCACATTTTGATTGACATTTTAGGAAGTAGCAAGCAATATGCTGTGTTGTGGGATTTCCTCATAGAAGTGAGAGAGTCCAAGTGTTGTGAGATTGGCCCGGAAATTTTCTGGCTTATTTTTCGGGTTTATAGTAGAGCTAATTTGCCTCGCGATGCCATTCGAGCTTTAAATCGAATGGTTGAGTTTGGTATTAAGCCCAGTGTTCATGATCTTGATCAGCTTCTTTACACATTATGTAAAAGAAAGCATGTCAAGTATGCCCATGAATTTTTTGATAAAGTTAAGAGTGGGTTTGAGTTGAATGCGAAAACTTATAGTATTTTGATGAGAGGTTGGGGAGACGTTGGTGATTCGGATGAAGCACGTAAGCTGTTTGATGAAATGACTGAACGAGGATGTTTGGTTGATGTGCCTGCGTATAATAGTTATTTGGAGGCTCTGTGTAAAGGTGGGAAAGTTGACGAGGCGTATAAGATATTTCGGGAGATGGGGTCGAATGGAGTTGTACCGGATGCTTGTACCTATTCGATTTTCATTCGTGCTTATTGTGAGGTGGATGATATTCATTCAGTTTTTAGGGTGCTTGATAGGATGAGGAGATATAATCTTTTGCCCAATGTGTATACTTACAATTGTGTTATCAAGAAATTGTGTAAGAACGAAAAGGTGGAAGAGGCTTACCAACTTTTGGATGAAATGATTGAGAGGAGTGTTATGCCGGATACGTGGAGTTACAATGCAATCCAGGCTTATCATTGTGATCACTGCGAGGTTAATGGGTCTCTCAGGCTGTTATCTAGAATGGAAACAGACAACTGCATGCCCGATCGACATACTTACAATATGGTGCTTAAGTTGCTAATCAGGATAGGAAGATTTGATAGGGCAACTGAAGTTTGGGAGAGTATGGGGAAGAGAGGATTTTATCCTTCTGTTTCAACATACTCTGTCATGATTCATGGCTTATGCAAGAAGAAACGTAAACTAGAGGAGGCTTGTAAATACTTTGAGATAATGATCGATGAAGGTATACCGCCATACTCTTCTACTGTTGAGATGCTGAGTAACCGGATTAGGGGCTTGGGGCTCCTCGACCATATTGAGATACTTGCAAGTAAGATGGAACAAAGCACTTCTTGCTCAATACAAGAGTTGGCAAACTTGATGAGAGGTAATAAAGCTTATGTAGCATCGAGAAGTGTAGAGAGTGACTTTGAAAGTGACTGATGAACCAAAGGTCGAGTATTGGATGAATTGTAAGGTGTAGTCCTGTCCTCATGCTACCACATCTCGATTTGTCTTTTAATATAGGTATCTTTCTCTTGCATGTCTATTTGTATAGGCATGCTTAATGAAACTTTTGTTACTTGGTATGTAAACTAGTGTTGCTGTTATGCTTTGGTGGTCAGTCTTACAGCCTGCTGGCAGTTACGAATCTTCCATGATATTTTGCTACCTAAAAATTTGTATATAATTTGAATCCCCTGGGTATAAACATTGCAAAACTCTTGAAAAGATTATGCGGCTCTATCTGAAGGTGCATGTGCTGATTTGCAGAGTTATACGCAACAGTACGATGAAGTGGAACTCTCTGCTTTGGGAATGGGTATGACATTTCCGCTGCTTCCATCCATTATTCATTGAACTTATAAGTCTCCAATGTGAAGATATCTGGGTGTTGTATTGTGTGCCATATCAATGTATCTGGTTGGACATTACTCTGAATCATGGAAACATTGAGGTTCCTAACTACGTACTGGAAGATAACTGAAATTTAGTGTAATTTGTTTGTATATGTGTTCGATTGCGTTCACTCAATTCGACAAGTTGAGCTACTAGTTTCTGTACAAGCTAACATGACTTGCTGTTTTGTGTCTATTTGTTATTATCTGCTTTAGGTGGAAAGAGAATTTTTACTAATTTGTCGAGCCATTTTTTTGTACAACCTTCTTTGGAGTGGTGAGAACTTAAACCTATCTTGGGAGTTTGACATTCCTTTGATTGTGGACTATTTCAGACTGTAGGTGCTCCAATACACCAGGATCAAGGAACTCTTCTTTGAGATGGAGCTTATACTTCAACAGCAGATGTCTTTATCTAAAAAGTAACCTTTTGTTGCTCGTTACAGTTTGGTGATTGCTTATGCTTATGAATCCAGTCAAATTCAGCACATTCCCGTTCCTTTATATTTGTTTTCACTTTCCAAATCCTTTTTATTTTATTTAAATGAGTGAGAAGGCAATTTGGTCGATTAGGGAAGACGTTGCTTTGCTTGAGGCTTGGATGCATTTTAGTCAACCCGGTCACATGTTAGAGATTGTTGAAAGTAACTTTCTTTCCTTAAAATGGATGAACTGAGATGAGTAGGGAGGATGGAGGACGTTTGGTGTGAGTAGATGTGGTGATTTGAAGGGGTTTTATGGAGAAATAAAGGATCAGAAGATTGGATAAGGACACATGACACTATATGAATGGTCGATAATTTTATCAAAAATATGGATATATATTATTAATGGATAATGACACATGGCCTAGACAAGAGCAGTTAAAAACTTAAAAATCTCATTAAAAATTTAACGCAAATATGACACGTTGATCCAATTTTTTTGGCAATAGAACTATTATTTGAGTCATTTTATAGAACAAACATTACCACGAAGGGGGAAAAAAATAGCACACCAACAAAAATAGAAATCTTTAGTTTGAAAACCATAAAAACCAAAACTTGAGTTCGTGTAGAGAAATTTTTGTTGGTCCTTCTGTGTTTTGTTACTTTCCTTCTTTTCAAGTAACTTTGAAAAGCAACTTAAAGATAGTTTTAAAAATCTACTATGGAAAGGACTAAACTTTAAAAATAAGTAGGCTTATAAATATTTACCAAACAGATTATCGTGCTTAACTCTAAAAGCAAAGCAGGTTTTTAGAAAATATATAAATTAAAGTAGACTACCGCTTTTTAAAATAAATAAAGAATAAAACGTAAAAATAAAGAATAAAAAAGCATAAAGAAAACCGGTGCGCAATCCGGTCTGCTCCGGTCCACGTTCCAAATCACCGTCACTGACATCCTCTCGATCGATTTTATAGCACAATACGAAACAGGCAGATTCCATAGTGATGCTTCTTCTTCTCCGCTCGTATTTCTGAGTGCCATTAAAGAGATATCCAAATCGAATCGGCAGAGCTGAGAAATGAGATGGTGGCGATTTCAGTGAGGCCCGCCTTCATCGTAGGAGTCCTCACACTCTCTCTCGTCCTCGCCGTCCTCCTCTTATCGTCCCCCACTTCCCCTTTCTACAGAACCCCTCTCTTTCTCAATTCACCCATGTATGTGCTTGTTAGCTCTTCTGCAACTACTTATTCTTTTACTTTTTTTATCTTTAAATTTTCGACTGGTTTTATTGGTTCAGAAGTTGCAGGAAAGTTTAGATCTTGAAGAGTCTTCATATTGTATGTATGAGAAAAGAAATAGAGTCAAAGGTCTTCCATGTTTTTGTTGTATTAAAGGGTGATTTTTTTTTTCTTGGGTTTGGTATATTTGATGGTGTCTGAGTTGGGTTGCTGTTAAAATCTGAGAAACGAGAATTACGATGTGATTCGAGACTCGTTTGAAGTGTGGATTTGCGGTTACTTTGGGACGAAAAACTGCAAAAAGTATGAGTTTCTGATTGACTTTGTGAATGCAGGAGCAAATTGGATATATGGAGTGTTGGGAGGATGGTAGAATGGAGACCTTGCAAGTGGTGGCTACAAGGACACCTCACTGGTACATTCCAACTTATTTTGCTTCCATTGCATTTGGCTTTTCTAGCTATAGATTCGTTCAGCCCGCCCACCATTGGGTTATTTAGAATCTTGGATTAACAATGAGAAACTAGAGTTAGCAAGTAGTATCTCTATGATGGTTTTGTGGACTTTGTATGGGTTTTGCTTGTTATGTTAAAATGTGGACATGACAAGATTTTCAAATAGTTATGATATTTGACTGTGATCGATGGGAATAGAATTAGGATTGAGGTGAGGTTACTGCGTAGTTTTTTGATATTCTGAGTCAATCTTGATTAACTATCATTGCAGACAATTGCATTGGTTTTCTGCAGCTCTGCCATCAAAGAGTAATGGATTCATTCGAGTGGATTGCTATGGGGGCCTTAATCAGATGAGGAGAGATGTGAGTGATTGAAGCAACTTTTTGATTGCTTGTATATATGCTCGATTTTACATTGCCACTTTGCTAAGCCTGAAAAATTATTTATGTGGAGTGCAGTTATGTGATGGTGTTGGTATTGCCCGTCTTTTAAATGCAACCCTGGTTCTGCCAAAGTTTGAGGTGGCTGCTTATTGGAACGAATCTAGGTAATCGGTGTTTTACATATCATTTACCGTGTGACGTCTGGAATATAACCTCCTGTGATTCTCAAAATTTTGAATGAGGACATCCTTTAATATTTTTTTTGAAGCAACCAAACAAATTTTGCTGTACTCAAACAATGTTATGATGTTTCTGGTCATGACCCCTTGCTAAGACTAAATGGCTACTCCACTTATTGGAAGATTTAGCATCTTTTTCATTTTTATTTTTTGTTTGTGCAAACAATAACTTCATTTAACTCTTTGGTTTCACCTCAGTGGTTTTGCAGATGTCTTTGATGTCGATTACTTCATTCAACAGTTGAATGGATTCATCAAAGTTGTCAAAGAGCTGCCATCAGAGATTTCATCAAAAGAACCTGTCCATGTAGATTGTAGCAAACGAAAGGGCCAATTTGATTACATTGAAAGTGTTCTTCCAGCCCTGTTAGAGCATCATTATATTTCAATTACACCAGCAATGAGCCAAAGACGGGATAGGTATTTAAATATGCTCTTTGTTCTCTATGGGAGTTTGGGATTACAATTGAGTACTTATTACTGTGAATATCTACCACCCTTTTGGTGAAGGCCAATATATGTGGCCAAAAGCTTGTCATGAAGGTGTAAAAGTTTACCAAGTCTACCTTAGTTTGTTAACCTAGGGTTGTTAGAAAATTAGGTTTTATTTCTTGTTTAGTATCTTGCCGTTCAAGATTTGGAATTAAATGTTGATTAGTTATGTGAATTTGTTAAGCTTATTTGGTTCATGATCAGAAATAAAGTTTCAAAAACTAAGACACGGTCCAGAAATCTTGATTTTTAACATCTAGAAACAAGTTTTGTATTGCATAAAAAAATATTTTTTGGGATTTCAAAACTATAAAATGTAGTTGTTATGAGCTTCAACCATAGGGCTGAGCCTTGGAGCTTGAGGCATAGAATTTGGTGCCGGGTCCAAGGTCAAAGGTTTGAGATTCAAGGCGCGGGTCCAAAGACTTTGACTGAAGACTCAGTTTGTGGCTGTTTCAGACAGTAGTTTGCGACTCGGGTTTTAAGTCTAGGGCTGAAGTTTGCATCTGGGGCTCGAGGATTAGGTCTAGAGTCCCACATACCTGGAGGACTCGGTGCCTAGGTAGGACGTGTCACAGGGGTAGGAGCTTGGAGTTGAGGTCTCAGGCTTGGATGTCAGTTCATTTTGGAGGGTGTTAATATACACATTGTTGGATGTATAAATGTACTACATTGTTTAGTTTCGGCTCTGCCCTTGGAGCTCGGGCAGAGTTCTCGTCTCTGGTCTGGAATCTGAGATTCCAGGCCTAACTGAGTTTTCTGTGGCTCGGGAACGAAATCCAGAGTCTGGACCTCAGGCCTCAGGTCTATAGTGCATCATCTTGGCCGCTGTCTTGGTGTTGGGGGGCCAGAGTTCAATTCTGGTGTCCATGTGTGCCATAAGGGCTTGGGCCCAGGTTCAATGTTTGGGGACGAGACTTCGTATGTGATGTTGGTGTCTAAGTTCTTTGGTACGATCTTATAGAAAATGTCTTTATTATGTTTTCAGGATTGCATGAGGAAATCTTTTTAGATTCAGTCTGCCAACACTATTGTGTAGATTTCTTGTATCTTTTTTCTTAAGAACAAAAAGTTATTTCTGGGTCCTAACCAAACAAACCCTTTTTTTACTTTATTTTATTTTTTTATGGTTTTGACTGTGTAAACAAGTCTTTGACGTTTGATGACTAAAAACTACAAAGTTGGCATTTTGATCTTACTGTTTGCTAATACTTAAGATGTCTTCTCCTTGTGTAGGTATCCTCAGTATGCAAAAGCTTCACTTTGTCAAGCTTGCTACAGTGCATTACGCCTCACTAAATCCTTGGAGAAGGAGGCCTCCGAGCTTCTTGAAGCCATACCCAAACCTTTCCTCTCACTTCACCTTCGTTTCGAGCCTGATATGGTAGCTTACAGTCAATGTGCATATCCATACGTTTCTCCTTCCTCCATTGAAGCCATTGAGGCAGCGCGAGGAGATAGAAAACCATGGACCGGAGAGCTTGCCCAGATTTGGAGGAAACGAGGGAAATGTCCTCTTACGCCTAATGAGACAGCCTTCATACTCCAAGCGCTATCCATCCCAACGAACACAAATATTTATCTGGCAGCTGGGGACGGTCTAATGGAAATGGAAGGGTTAACTTCTGTTTACACGAATGTAGTTACCAAGTCTAGCCTTCTTAGCGGTGAGGATTTCAAAAGCATGCATGGGAACACGAAAGCAGCGTTGGACTACTACGTGTCGATTAATAGCGATTCATATATCGCAACATATTTTGGAAATATGGATAAGATGGTTGCAGCAATGCGAGCTTTTAAGGGCTTGTACAAGACACTTTTCTTAAGCAGAAGAGCTTTTGCAGAGTTCACTTCTCAAGGTTTGAGCGGGAAGGAATTGATGGAAGCTCTATGGAAGGCCCACAGAGATGATTTTGTGATGGGG